CCTGGAAGTGAACCCGTCTGCTAGAATATGGGGTATAGGGTGATCTTATGATGATATTGGGCAGTTCTATAGTCTATCCACTTAAGTGGGACTATATATCTAACTTGGGCTTTTTTGGAGCGTAAGGGCTTTCCAAGAACTTCTTCTGCCAAACTGAGAGCTGACAACAGCTGCGCGAAACCCTAAGGCCTACATTTCAGTTTCGGGTCTAGGGTCTAGGGTTTAGGGTTTAGGGTTGGGGGTGTAGGGTTTAGGGTTCAGGGTTCAGGCCTTGAACCCTAAGCCCTGGACCCCTCAAATCCTGCACTGTTAGAATCTATAACCCTTAACATTCACGGCCGACACCCAAAAATCCCTAAACTTTCAATACTGAGCTCTGCAGCACGAACCCCCTGCTTGGAGGGCTAGGCGACTCAGTCAGGAGACGAAAGATGGGGAGAGATCGGATTATTTCTATGGCTTGTAGGGTTTTGTACCCTAAGCCCCCTAAACCCCCTGAGCCTGAATGTTCACGGGAGGCCGACTACCTGCGTAAGCTGGGTGCCCTCGATGATTCTGATGCCCAGCAGCCCCAGGCACTTCATCCACGAGGTTTAGGGTTTAGGTTGCCAAAATGGAGAATGAAGTGGGACAGAAGATGCAGAGCAAAACGCAAACAAGGCTTAGACAGGAATTCTATGGGATATACAGGGCCATGAAAAGGAAAACCACAACTGCTAGGATGTGGGGTTTAGGGTGCGGAGGGAGGGAATGTAAAGATCTGCAGACGGCAACGTTCTTTTATAGTAGCAGGCACTGATTCATGAGGAGTTGCATCCTGTTATTCGCATAGGGGTCCCAGCAGGATACTCCCTGGGATTGCAAGTAGGTAGTATTTGTAGACTTTAGATCCCTAAGCCCTAAACCCTAAACCCTAGATCCTACAGGGCTTTAACATATTTGTTGTGATAATCCTAATATTTAGTGTTTAGAGCTCTTTTCTTGATTTTTAACTTCTGTCCTGCAACTGTGATTTTCCGGAAACTAGAGGCTCCAGTTGGGGGGGACGCTGTGAATTTTAAGGGGAGCCCTTGGTTTTTTTGCGTGGGTTTACATGCAAAGCCACGCCAGATGTATTGCGAATCAGCCTGAGATGATCCCAACAGCGTTGCTTGAACATGTTTTTACTTGTGCTTACCTTAACTTCACCAGGTGGCAAACGCAAGCTACTTGCCCTACTGCTGCTTTCATTTCTTCGATTAGGTAGCAAAAACTACATAATTGGTCTGCATGCCAGGGCAGGTATTGGTCTACGTAGGCTTCGTTATGAAAATTAGCGAGCCTATACATGTCGTCGCCGGTTGAGGGAGGGGGGGGTGTTATGTAAACCTTGTTCCGTACCTGGCTTCTTTTTGTGGAGTCAAGAAGCAAAGTCCGAAGGAGGGTCTTTAGGATCTAAAACTTAGAGTTTGGTGTCAGGGCTTAAGGCTCAGCATCTAAACCCTGAACCGCAGAGTGAATGGTTTATAGCGATGAACGTGAAGCAGGTGCAGTGCACCGCTGCGTCAGTGATACTGAGGGCTAAGAGGTGCCTGAAAGTTTAAGCCTTCAGTTCTGATCTGTCATCTCCTTGTAATAAGAAAGGCTTCCTCGTTATAGGGATTCCCTCCCCCTCCTATGTGAATGGTGCTATATAGGGAACATGTGCTACCAGTTTGATGGGGGCTTACTTATTCGGTAAGGGATTATGTATTTGACATGCGCATGAGGTATGCGTGGCCCAGGAGCAAGACCTGGAGATCAAAAAGTGAGTGAGGAAGTAATAACCCAGACCCCTGATTAATAAACCACTTCCCCTTACTAGGGTAGGGATCCTCATGTTATGACCCTTAAAAGGAGGTGGTTTATTGCTCAGGGGTCTACATTAGATTGAACCTCTGGAATCCACAGGCTCTGTAAGTATACCAGCTCTAAGTCCCAGATAGCATCATAGTTTCCATCTTCGTTTCCATTTTTCTCTGTTTTTTCTACACAGAATGTAAGCCTTCGACTTATTATGTTCTAAATATACTTGGATCACATACCCCTATGATTTCGTCTTCGTTTTGTTTTTCGAAGCTCTCCTGAGTCATGAACAAGAAGGATTCCTGCAGCTGCCCCCTAAACCCTAAACCCAGAGTTCATTTGGGCAGTTCTGTTCTTTTGAAGGAACTAGAGTTTGGGGATAAGTGTTTCCGCTGTAAAGTCGCTCCCAGAAGCCTTGCACCACTAGGGACCATCGAATTCTGAATGTCCCGGTGTGGATCTATACCCTAAAGCCCTGAACCCTGAATCAAGCTGAAGTTGAGGCAACTACAGCCTAAACCCCAGCGTCCTGAACCGTAAAGCAAGGCTTTTCAAAGCCAGGCACTTAAGCACTCAGCCCTTGCAGGTCATCATCGCCAACTACATGATGGCTTGAGCCTGATGTCGCAGGGTGTAAGTCTAGGATGTTGGGCATTGTAGATACTGGATGGCGAGAGATGTTGTTCGTTTCGTTGTTATGGGTTTAGGGCTCAGGGTTTTCGTAGAAGGGATTACGAATTAATGGGCCGGTAGAACTGTCAGTCCGAAGTTCCCCCCCTCCCGCAGCATCCTAAACACAACACCGGTGACAAGCTATTGCTTCCTTGCCTGCTGACGTGAGGAAACACAAGCCCTAAGGGTCCAAGTACCTAATAACCATATACTTACCGATAACTGTACTGTAATTACTGTTACCCAAATCCCAAGCACCTAATTATTGGGTACTTGGACCCTAAACCCTAAACTCTATATACCCTTATGTATCCCTACATATCCCTATATATCCCCCTTAAAAGGGACCTAATTATTGGGCACATGGACCCTCTGGGAAAGCTCCCACAGCAACGGTAGCCCAATGACGGCACCTCATTGTCGTGTCATGCATGAAGAGCTGGATGCACCAAGCCATCAGGGGATGGAGTAAATAGTTTAGACTTTAGAGTTTAGGGTTTAGAGTTTAGGGTTTAGGGCTTAGGGTTTACATCAAAAGCTCAAACACCACTATCCAGAATGAGCGTGTCATGTAAAGCCCGGACAGAAGAGTTACGAGGAGCGCCGCTGGAATATGATGTGGGACGTTCCTGAGATCGTCTCATCGTAGTCCCTTTCCAGGTGCCCCAGTAGTACCCATTTTCCCCTTTATTTTGGTGTCTCCTTTCTAGAGCTGAACATTAGGAAAAAGGGTACCTTTATTAGTAAAGGGGTTACTGGGGAACCAGTCATGAGGAAGCATCAGATTCCCTTTCAGTCTCTATGCATGGTCAACTGGGTTGCGGTTAAGGAATTGGAATTAAGTTGCCAAAATGGGTATATGTATCTATGGAGCAAATAATCTGGCACCCCTAATATCGTAACTTTGTATGTTTGTGGGTGGGTGGATGGATGGGGCTGGGGTAGGGGGGTTGAGTTTGGGTTTAGGGTTTAGGGTTTAGGGCAGGGGCTGGATGGGTGGGTTTAGGGCGTTTCTGAAGTAGGTAGGCCATTTGGAAGTTGAGATGATACGTAACGACGTAAGGAGTGCAGAAGCTTACCACATACCTCGCAAGGCCTCAAGGTATCCGCAATTTGACCCACATCCTGAAAACCTGATCCTTGCCATCTAATACGCACACTTTACGCGCTAACCCCAAAGCCTACGTGCGAATGTCCCTACACCAAAAGCCTTAAGCCAGAAACTCTGAGTGCCAATCCCTAAACGGCCCTAAGCCCCAGACAGCGAACCCTTATCGCCAATCTCTCAGCAGTTACCTCTCAGCCAGAAACCCCAAAAGCCTAATCCTGAAGCCTAAACCCTAAACTCTAAACCTTGATTCCTAACCAATTTAAAAGCGACCTCACCCGACCTCACCCTAAATGGTGGTGTATATAGGGAAGAGTACCAAAATCGCCTTGAATTGGGAATTGATTCTATTCTAAATTACCCTGTTGATTCCCTAAAATATACCCAAAGCCATATTCTATCTACTTAATGGGGGATTATATATAATCCTGAAGCCTAAATCCTAAAACCTGCAATCTTGATTCCCTATAACCCAATCTCTCAATCCTTAGACCCTGAACCCTTTGGGATTCCCTTATACTCCTGTTATAGGTGCCTAAGGGTTAACCCTTACAACCCTAAACCCTAAATCCCAAACCCCTAACTCCCAAACCCCTAATTCCTAAACCCTAAACCCTAAATCCCAAACCCTAAACCCTAAACCCTACATACATGCTCTCGGCCCTGAGTCCACAAGCCGCTGCAGGCCTGAAAGTCATACTTTGGGCTTAGAGGTTTAAGGTTTAGGGGTGTAGGGTTTAGGATTTTCGGGTTTAGGGTTTAGGAATTTAGGGTTTAGGGGTTTAGGGTTTAGGATTTTAGGGGTTTAGGGTTTAGGGCTTAGGATTTCAGGGGTTTAGGGCTTAGGGTTCCTAATTCCCCGAACAGCAGGCAGTCTCTCAGAAGTATATTATGAGCCCCAACCCCCTAATCCCTCAACCCTCTTCTCTAAAAACCCGGTACAAGCTAAACCCGTAATGTTTACATCCTAAGTCCCCAAGACCAATTTCATCAAATCCCAAAACTCCCTATCCCAATGTAGGTAACCCTCGTAGACTTTAGGGCCCAAAGCAGGCATTATCTACAGACTTAGAGCCCCAAACCCTAAATCCTAAGTTCTGAAACCGAATCCCTAAATCCTAAACAGTTAGCCCTAAACCCCAAACTCGAGGCCTTGAGCCCGAAACCCTTCAGCTCAGAATAAAAAAACGCCAAAAGCATGAGACAAACCCACACAAAACTCCGGACATGAATTCTGTACAATTTCTATAAGCACTAAATTCTAAACCTGAAGCCTTAAATTTTTATGCCTATGTATATACATATCTATATAGACTGTATGTTTATATATGTAGCTCTAAACCGCTAAACCCTGAACCCTAAACCCCTTAACCCCTAAACCCTACACCGTAAAACCGTAGACCCTAAACTCTGAATCCCTAAGCCCTAAACTGTAAACCCTAAATTGTAGTTTCCGTTTTCTTCTTTCCTCTATCCCAACATAACCCCAATATAATCTCTATATTAACCCCTAAACCCTAAACTCTGAATCCCTAAACCCCAAACTCTAAACCCAAAACCCTCAACCCTAAACCCTAAATAGTAGTTTCCATGTTCTTTTCCATTATTCCTATATTACCCGTATAGTACCCCTATATAATCAACCCTGAACTGCCGAGGCGCGTCCGAACTGCTTGGAAGCCTCCGGCCTGCTACAGCCTCGGAGTCGGTTTAGGGTTTAGGGTTTTGGGTTTAGGGTTTAGGGTTTGGTGTGCCTTTTGGGATTGGGGTTATAGGGTTTAGTGACTAGGAATATAGGGTTTACGATTTAGGGATTAGGGATTAGGGTTTAATGATTAGGATTTGGGGTTCAGGGTTTAGGTTTGATGATTTAGGGTTCAGAGTTTAGGGATTAGGGTTTAGGGACTAGGGCTTAGGTTTTGCGGAGTAGGGTTAGGGATGAGGGTTTAGGTTTTAGGGGTCAGGGTTTGG